TTCAAAGGCACCCATTCCCCTGTCCAGGGGTCTTTTATACTGTAATCTCTGTAGACTCTTTTTCCAGTACAGTATCTTTCTCTTCAGCCCAGCACTCATCTACCACATGCCCGAGTTCTTCTCATCCCTTTAAAACTCCCTCCTTTCCCGCCAAAATGGTGATCCTGCTAGCCATTCCTTTCCTGGATTTTCCACTTGCATTCGTTTTAATTTTTTGTCCATCTGATCTGTTATTCCTTTTCCTCTTGTGAAGTGGACAGCTCACTGTCAGTCTCTGGTTTTTTTCATATATCTGCCTTTATAGACTATACATTTTTATATTTTTAAGAATGCAACTGAAAACTAGATAGTAGTGCATAGTCCTAGAGATCATTAAAAACGGCTTTTAGATACTAGTGGAAGCATTGGTTAACACTGGAGTAATTATAAAGTAAGCCGTCATAAATTGGGTCTGATGTTTGGCTAATTGTATATATGACTAGAAGTGAAAACATAAAATAACCATAGTATCACCACATATCATTACTTCAGCATATTGGCAGTAATTTCTTCTCCAAGTTAGAAGAAACTAACTTTTCAGGAAATAGTTTTCCATTGTTTTTTAAAAAGATAATGTAAAAATTCAAACACTCTTCGGATCATAGGTTGCTTCCTTTCAAAGGGTGTTAGAACCTTTAGTGGCTGGTTTATTGAGTATAGCCTGGGCAAGCAATGTAAGGTCTTTTTTCTGGCCATATCAGATAGGAAGCTGTAAAGCAGGATTAGAGCAGCTGGTCATGAAGAAAATATTTGTTCATATTCCCTGTATTACATACAATACCCAGAATGCTGTTGTGAAAAAACATTCATGTTAGGACCAGTTTTGCTGTTTGCACATTGTCGTGTATCCAGGTGCCTGATTGTGCAACCAAGGCACAGCCAAAAATGCAATGAGCATTCTGTAAAATAGTGTACACTGCCCATACAATTGCACATTTGTGCTCCATGATTCTAAAAGGATTCTAACCTATATCCACCTGTACCCTCTCCTTCTAGTTCTGCACTGTGGTTAACTATTCTTGAAGAGAATCTCTTTTTTACTTTAACAAACTTCAAACGATATCGGTTTGCTTTAGTTTCGTAGAAACCTAGTCCTGTCTTTGCTTTCTCCTTTCTAAGCTGTCAAATGATTTAAATGCCAACATATTGTAGAATCTTTTCACATTTAATTATTTTAGAGGATATTAAAGGATATAGGTCAAAGGATATGAGCCGCAAGAGTTCAGTGATGAAAACAGGTTTATTCTTCATGATATTCTGTTGACATTTGAAGGCTAGTAAAATACCTCACTAGGAAATAAAAGTTCATATAAAACATTACAGTAATTGACAAAACCAAGTGATCTGAACTGATATAGAGACAATGATCTCTTTCTGTTTGCAAGCAGGAGCAAAGGGTGAAATAGGACACTCTTCTCAGTATCTCCATTAGACCCTTAGTCCTTGCAGCTTTTCCAGAATTTTCTTTCCCATTGTTGGGAAAACTCACATAAAAGATAATTTAATTAAAAATGAGAATCACAATTTTTGTTTCCATATATAAAGATGAAATATCAAATTACTGTATGCTGTGCAATAACCTCTGTCATTTAAAAAAAAAAAACTGGAAGAATTCCTAAACCATCTTAACAGCATCCACCCAAAAGTACAATTCACCATGGAAAAAGAAATAGAGGGCCAACTCCCGTTCTTAGATGTCATGGTCATATGCAAAACTGACTTCTGATTGGGACACAAGGTCTACAGAAAACCCACCCACACAGACCGGTACCTACACAAAAACTCCAACCACCACCCACAACAAAAAAGAGGCATAATCAAAACACTGGTAGACCGGGTAAATCGGAACTGTGAAGTTCAATTTCTCAGCACCGAACTCAACCATCTGAATTGGGCCCTACAGGCGAATGGCTATTCCAAGAATGAAATCAAAACAGCCATCAAACCAAGAAAACAACACCAAACTGAAGAGGAAAAACAGCTACCCACAAGTAAAGTATTTCTGCCATACATCAAAGGGGTCACGGACCGCATGGGAAAACTTTTGAGAAAACACAACCTACAAACAGTATTCAGACCCACCACAAAAATACAACAAATGTTACAGTCAGCAAAGGACAGAAGGGACCCCCTCACCACTGCAGGAGTATACCGGATACCTTGTGGTTGTGGACAGGTATATATTGGAACCACAAAATGCAGCATTCACACCAGAATCAAAGAACATGAGAGACAATGCAGACTAAAACAACCGGAAAAATCAGCAGTAGCTGAACATGCCCTAAAACAAGCTGGACATGAAATTCTATTTCGAAAGACAGAAGTACTGGACAACACTAACAATCATTATGTTAGACTGCACAGGGAAGCCATTGAAATCCATAAACATCAGCATAGCTTCAACAAAAAAGAGGAAAGTCTGAAACTGAACAAGGCCTGGCTTCCAGCATTGGAAAATACATCCTGCAGAAGGTCAACGAACTCTACCCAGCCACAAGGACCAGGGATCATGGCACAAAATAGACCAGCTAAAGACACCCATCAACCACAGTGACAGATAATCTCTCCCACTTATCACAACAATAAATCGACAACAAAAACACGCTGATCACCCTATCTCCTGAAAAGGACAAAAGCTGTTCCCACAGCTATAAATACTCAACTATCCAACAAACAGCAACAGAGCATGGACTGAGTTCCTACTCCAGTCCTCTGAAGATGCTGGCCACAGAGAGTGGCGAGACATCAGGAAGAGCAAGCTTCAGAACACGGCCAAAGAACCCAAAAAAACCAAAAGAACCATCAAATCCCGGCCATGAAAGCCTTCAAGAATACATCGAAATCTGACTTCTTTCTCCAGAGTTTTTCAGTTTGATTACTTTGGAAGTGTGAGATCTGTTCTAGAACATTCATAGTTCCCAATCTTAGGTAACCCAACTGTTGGACTGCAATGCCCAGAAACCCCAGCCAGTGCTGCAGATGGTGATAGCTTCTTTGGTGGGTTACCCAAGGTCGGGAGTCACTATTTTAGGGCAAACACAACAGCTGTGTACATTAATTGTAACAAATGGATAAAATGTATTTCTCAAGAATTTTGAAGAAAGAAACTGGAAAGTGAAACAATTACCATAACTTCAGAGTGAATCTTATTGTCATGTCTCCCATGCCCTCAATCAAAATACAGTTAGCATCTATATGAGATTATTAAACTTAGCCTTATAAATTTTCTCATAACTGAGCCATGCATAAGTGCTGTATTAAAGGGATCATTTTGATCAATAAGGATTTAGGACTAAAGAGTGGAAAACAGTATTTTTCATGCTTCTCAGTACTAAGAAGATGCACCTGGATTTCGTCAGTACTAAAAGTCTGTGAAAAAGAAGAGTTAAACAGGAACTATGCCAATATTAAGTTGTTTTCAGTGGTAGAACAACAGCAGAATTACAAGCAGAACTTGGGGTTATTTATTTTAAAAAACTACACACGTTGTTCTCCTAAGTGCTGATTGCCAGCTGTATCTTTTCTGTTCTGCTCCTGTAATTGCCATTTACTTGGAAGACCTGGGCAATCATACTAATTGCTAAAAAGTTTACTTCTTGCATGTCAAGGAAACTGGCTATTTCCAGCTGTTATGAGAAATTACTAGTTTGCAGTCCTAGGATGAGAATAAGCTATTACAAGTATGCTTATAATAATGAGGGGGAGGGAATAGAAAACCTAGCTTTTTATTTCAACCACATGTTTTAGTTATGTAGCTTTAAGTAGAAAATATTTTGTAAGATGGGACCGTAAACATAAATATCAACATTGTACATAAATTGAATTGAAAACAACAGTAATACTAATTCTTATAAATTAGATGTGAAGCAATAGTAATGAGACTATTGTGAAAACCATGGCACGGTGAAGAAATGGAATATTATAAAATTGATTAAAGCATAAAAGAATATATGTTATGCTGGCTAAGACAGGTGGTAATTACAGCCAGCAACATGTGGAGAATGACATATATCCTATCCCTGGTGGGTTTGAATATAGCATACAGTGTGATGTTTATGGAGCTAAATGTGTTTTATTTAGCCATGCATTAGCTTCATTAAAGGCTTGTACAATATAAATAATAATTATGTGCTATAAAGTCAATTTTTATTTAAAGTAGGCCATACCAGAGTTTTCTTAATACACAGTACTCAGAAGTAGTTTCCACTTCCTTCTTTTGGGGGTACTTTGCAGCCTGCCCAAGGTTACACAAGCTGGTTCTTTTTCTGAGAGGCACAATGAGGAATTGAACTCCCTACCTGCTATTCGACTTACTGAGCTATCAAACTAGTTGTGTACAGTATAGATGTCTGCAAAGCTTGAGTACGCTTTAGCTTACGTAAAGCATTTTCCATCAATTTCTTTGGTGGTAAAAAATCATCATTAGCTAGGTAATGATACAGTACTGTACAATTTGAAACAAACATCATATTACAATTTATTATTGGTTATCCCCTGCAAAATATACCACCTCTTACATACTTGCACTGACAGGGCAAAATTATAATTTTGTGTGTTAAATATTTATTTCAATTCAGATTAAATTATCTTGTACTTATTTTAAAAATAAGATATTGCACATAGTATTCAATCTTGTAAATTAGAGTATCCAGTATTAATACAGTGGGGTCTTGACTTGAGAACTTAATCCGTATTGGAAGGCGGTTCTCAAGTCAAAAAGTCTGTAGGTGAAGTCTCCATTGACCTACAGTGCATTGAAAACCGATTAATCCCGTAACAGGCCATTTTTGTTCTATTTTGGTTTTTTTCTGGTCTGTAAGTCAATTCTCAGGCTGCAAGTTAAACCTAAATTTTGCGGCCAGAGAAGTCTGTAACTCAAAAAGTCTGTAAGTCAAGCCGTCTGTAAGTCAAGGGTCCACTGTACTGTGAAATTTATTGTTCACATTTTACTTTTTTCTCAGGTAGAACTAGTAAAAGGAAGTTCACCAAGTGTTGGACTTACTCTCCGTCAAGTGCAAGCTAAGGAAGGGGAATCAGGACATGTTGTTATTGAGACAGTCATCCCAAACTCTGCTGCTGCAACTGCTGATCTTCAGAGGGGAGATCGACTTATAGCTATTGGTGGTAAGTAGCAAAACCAATTCTTTAAAAGTACATTAAGCTGGCATGGTCTGATGAAATCCTGTATACTTGCTCATCAGTGGCTCAGTAGACCTCCAATTTTTGTTTTTTTGTTTGTTTTTTGTCGCACTCCCATAAGCAGGCATCCTTCCACTGATTATCTAGCAGGCCAAAACATAGGGCTGATGGAGTCCATTCAGTTAGAAGCCCATGCCAAAGAATAGGCTGTTTAGAGAGATCATTATGTTAAGTTTAGCTTTCCTTTCTCTGTAACTGATTTTGCCACACATGCCCCTTTTTTGTGCAGTTAAAGTATGGCAGTGAGAACAGAAAGCACAAGTGATAGAAATCTCCTAGACTCTCACCCTTATCGTCTGTAGGGAGGAATGACTAAAAAATTCACCCGCTTTTCTGGGCAAAACTCCATCCTTCTTCATAATTTCACACCTTTGTCATCAACACGCTTATTAACTAGCAGATTGGTTTCCTACTTCTGAGGTGTATTTTATATTAGTTTTTATTGCTTATTTCTACTACATTTAGTGATATTCCACTCAGCCTCTTCCCTTTTTTCTTACATTATGGTCAGTATTCATTTGTGTAGTTGGAGTTTATGCTCCTTCATTTTTCCTCATGCGGTCAAGATTTGGCTTATTAAAAATAAATCACCTTGTCTTTTAAAGCTTTCTTAACTATGCTTGTTAACTATTCAAGCATTTGTTTATTGTGATTTTTAAACAACCTTCCATTATCTTGAAGGAATTTGCTTTTTTATCTTTATCTTTGTTTCAAGTTTTTCTCATTTTTGAAACATTTTTTCCTTGAAATCTATTATTTTAGCAACTCTCCACTTAAATATATGTTGACTTTAATTCCACCGTGGATAATTTTTCCTAACTGAATGACCACTGCCTACATATTGCACAAGATCTAGGGCACCACTGAGGATTAGACCAAAGTTTATCTATCCTTGCTCTGTTTTGCTCAGATTTTTGTTAACAGAGCTGTAACTTGCAATTTTGGCAGCTGGGCAAGCAGCAGATAATGTGCCTCCAAATCACCTTTTTCTTTCATGACATGCAAGTAGTAGAAAAAGTCATTATAGGACTGAATAGCATACCAGGATCTCCTGTCCTCAACAGGGGATTAACAGCACTGTCAGATCTACAGGGACGTGGTGGCGCTGAGGGACATGGTGGCGCTGCAGGCTAAACCGCAGAAGCCTGTGCTGCAGGGTCAGAAGACCAAGCAGTCGTAAGATCGAAGCTACGCGATGGAGTGAGCTCTCGTCGCTTGTCCCAGCTCCCGCCAACCTAGCGGTTCGAAAGCATGCAAATGCAAGTAGATAAATAGGGACAACCTCGGTGGGAAGGTAACGGCGTTCCGTGTCTAAGTCGCACTGGCCATGTGACCACGGAAGATTGTCTTCGGACAAAATGCTGGCTCTGTGGCTTGGAAACGGGGATGAGCACTTTCCCCTAAAGTCGAACACAACTGGACAAAAATTGTCAAGGGGAACCTTTACCTTTACCTTTACCTTTACCAGATCTACAGGAACAAATCAGAAGACAGACAGAGAGAAATCTCATTTAGCACACCATATTTTGATAAAATGACTTTGCACTATCCAGCCCAGAGGTCTGGACTACTGGGATCTAGGTAAACCTGCCTTCTAGCAGGGGAAACCTGGTATACCCATTATCCTGTTAGAGCAGTCCTCCATCTAGATGTTACTTCCTCTTTGCCTCTTGGCAGACCTGTCCTCTGCTGCCTCAGTGGGGCCCGGTAGGCCAACCACCTGTCCTCTCCTCTTTCTCAGTGGCCCAATATACAGACTGCACAGCTTGCTGAAAATTAGGGAAATTTGCGTCAGAGGCTTCATCTAGTGCTAACTTTTCCTGCAGTGTGAGATCAGGTTGTAGGGATGATTTTCAATGTCTGGGGGAAGGTGCACACTCTAAATATGGTACCCTGCAACAAATCCCTGGTAGCTCTGTCCTGTTTGTTGATGCTCCCTGCCTACTGCAGCTCTCTACACCCTCTCAAAAAAGCAACTCTTCAGGTTTCAGGCATCCTCCAGAGGAATATGAGGTATGATACAAAGGGCTACTTTCAGCTTTCCCCCTTCAATCAGCTTAAAAGCTGATGTGGAGACTTTTGATTCTGAGTGCAAGCACTTTAGTTGTATTGTGCTTGGGGTAAACACAGAATCTTATGGCTAGATTTTCATTGGTATTTATATACATGTCCAACACCTCTCCCCTCTTATTTACAAGTGTGTCTAAATGACATGTGATGCAAGTAGCCATGCAGGCATGTTCCTATAAAGTTAACCTGCTCACCACAACCCAGTTTCTCTTTCAGCCCATTAACAAGGCTCATCCCATCTGTCACACACTACAGTGTGTTCTTCACATAAAATAATACTAGTTCATTACTTAAGGAATTAGTTCTAAGGAATCGCTTCCTCCTCTTCAGTTATGATGTCCTCTTTCACTGAGACAGACATTCAGGTTTAAAGTTCCTGAATTATGTTTTTCTATTTGTGCTTTATTCAACATTGTATTGTTATTTTATTATGTATTTATCCATTGATGTAATGTTTTATGTTGTTTTTAAATTGCTGTACTTACTCTTATTAAATATGTCATGAACCAATTAATCATCATGACCATAATTTTAGAACTCCAGAGCTGGAAAGGACTATATGGATCATCAAGTCCTGCCTTTGTCAAGGAGGCACGTGGAGAATTGAACTCCCATCCTCTGACTCTGCAGCCAAATATCTAAACACTGAACTGGGCATTATTAGTGGAAAAACAGAATACAAATCGGTGGAAGTAATTTTGCATGACAATGGATGAGCTGACAATCATTACCATGCTTGCCTCATACATGCCTCTTCTAGCTTTTTCCATCTGTTCTGTTGATCTTCAGGGATTGAATTACATGTATAAGAGGTAGAAGCCCAAAGGTTTCCAGGAGCCATAAATGCTGTATACCTCCTGGGAAGTTTTGGGTGTATATACTGTATAAAAATAAATATAAAAGATATTGTATAGCTCACCTGATATCAAAGATTTCTTTCTGTCTTTGTAAATGATGTTTTATTATTTCTTTAATAATCGTATTAAAATCTGTATAAAAGATCTTGGTGTTGTGAGGTATGTTTTCACACTTAATGTAAGAATGTGACTTTGCTGCCCTGGTCTCTGTAGCTAACTCAGCTTCCTAACTTCCTTGTCTGTTTAGGTTTTTTTCATTACTATTTTTATTTATCTTTTAAAAACATAAAACAAAATCATACAAATCTAAAACATTTAAGAGCACATAACATTTTTCATTATTGCTTCATTGCCAGACCTTCCACGGTTATACTTACTTTTCAAACGATCCCTAAATATGCATTTGTGGTTTGTTTCCCTAGTTTTCTGTAGCAGACAGTGATAGCACTCTTTAAAGAAGTAACCATATTCTGCAGGTGTATCAGAAAAAAAAACATTCAAGTACCTTTAAGACTAACAGATTTATTACTTTGTGAGCCTTCACAGATTATAATTTACTACCTCAGATAGAATTAAGGTGGGAGTATCTAAAAAACAATATATACAGCCAATTTGTAGTCTCAAGTTATGCTACTGACAAGAAAAACAATGCAACAGATGTGTGATATATTCAAGCTAGAGTTGATGAAAGGGGAGTAGGCATCACACTGGTTCCTTTGGGAACATGGAAATCTGACCCATATGAATCTTTGCTAAATATATAATTCTCTTCTTAAGCCACTTTCCTTCCTCTGTGTTCCCATATGATGTCTACATTTCTAGATTTAAATCACTACCACACCACTTTATGCCTGCTTCTATGCCATTTGTGGTTTCGAGGTCTAAAGTTCCACTAGTTAACATTACATCTCTACTCTTTGCACTGGAAGTATCTGAAATGCAGTATAATGCATTTAAAATGCTGTTGCCTGAAGTTGCACATTTCTTGTGCCCAGCTGTCATTTATTTGCTTTTTTTTTTGTAATTGTTCTCGGTTCACAAACATTTAAATATAGGAAAGAAATAGAACCATCTAGGTTGTCATGCCAAAAAGGCATTAATACCACTATTGGTATGTAATAAGCAAGTGTGGTGCAACCACTAGAGCAGATGTGGAAAATACAAATTCCATTCCCCACTTAGCCATAGATGGTCATGACCTAATCATTATCTGTCAACTGTCAACCCACAGTGATAATTTCTAGCCCCTTTGGTTCTGGTTGTGATGGAACCCTGTGCAAGGGGGAAGCAGAGTCGCACGTGAGAGTGGTGGAGCCCAGCCCAGCAGGGCTGAAAATTAGAGGGTGTGTTGCATATGAGAATGAAATAAATGTAATACATGCTACTCTGAGCTTCATGAAAAAAAGATTGGGATATAAATAGGATATAACCAACAATGTGCCATTTTGTATCATGGAAGAATCCAAATCTTGAATCTGTAAGACTGATAACATCCACTAATTATAATAGCCCTAATTCAGAAATAATTTGCATATTGACTAGGTGGCATGAGTTACCTGTATCGGTAACTGTCACTTGTTTGGATTGTTGGTAAACTAAATTCTGACTCCTCAATCCAAGGAATGGTACTTGAATTTTTTTTCTTCTGTTCCTTTCAACAGGTAATTAATTCTGTCAGATCTAACCATCAGTAATGTTCAGTTCCCAGTTGCAACCTTAACTGCTAGATGTAGAGATTTTGTCTCAAACATGTCATGTGTGGCACCCTGAATTTGGATAGTTGTCATTACTTTTAGCCATTTTTCTAATGTTCCTTCATATGGTTGACTCTTGCTTTATTTTGTCTTCTTAACAGGAGTTAGAATTACATCAACAGTACAAGTCCTAAAGCTGATCAGACAAGCTGGGGACAGAGTCATAGTGTATTATGAAAGACCTGTTGGAGTACAAGATAATCTTGTACAATTGGAAGACTCAGTATTTCCAGATGATGTCACATTGACAGAGGCTGAGATGAAAGAAATGGATTTAGAATTTGAGGACTTGGCAAATGAACTTAAATCAAATGAATTCAAAGAAGATTTGTCCACAACAAGCCCAAAGCATACAACAGTGACACTTACTACTAAGCCACCTGGAACTGTATCACCAGTACTAAATCGCAAGTCATATTTAGGAAGTCATCAGACATCTGCAAGAGCACTTTTCAGAGAGGCAGCCAAACAAGTAGTACTCAGAAATGCAGAGAATCTGGATGCAACCCAACAAACAAACAAACAGCCACAAGCAAATAAACCTCCTGTACCACCTAGGCCACAGCTAAAAGTAACCCCAGTTCCCAGTGAAGTTCAAAATAAACCAGAAACTGGTGACTTATCATCTGAGAAACTAGACAGACTTGCAGTTCCTGCAAATAATGGAGATAAAAGTTCAGAAAAGCCAACAAAAAATAATGATTTAGGGGAAGAACCTGTAGGTTCCAAGCCAGTTACAAACAAACCAGAAACAAAGGAAACTTCAGAATCTTCACAGAATCCAAAAACAGTTGCAAACAAACCAGAAGTGCTTAAAGAACCTTCAGAGATATCCCAGAGTTCTAAAACAATTACAAACAAACCAGTTGCAAACAAATTGGAAATAGCAAAAGAACCTTCAGAATCATCACAATCTTCACAGAGTTCAAGGTCAACTATAGTAAGCCATCATTCGTGGGAAACACCTGAAATTCCTTATCGTAATCGATTAGGGAAATGGCCAAGGACAAAAGCCTCTTCTTGCATATTTGAAGTAGAGAAAGAACACAAATACTTAAATGTAGCCATTTGGTGCAGAGACCCTTTCAAACTAGGTGGACTCATCTGTTTAGGATATGAAAGCATAAAACTTGAAGAAATAGCTCTAGATTGTATAGCCACATCCTCCATGGAATTTATTAAACAATTTAGATTAAATCCTCCTGCACCTAAAGCTACAGTAAGTAGAACTGCATTACGTACTTTGATATCACACAAAGGCTTCAATGAAAACTTTTGTTATGGTGATATTACTGTACATTTTAAATATTTAAAAGAAGGTGAACCAGAAGATTCAAGTTTTCTATTGGAAAAAGAAAAAGAAAATGTTTCAGAAGCAGCAACAGCTCCTATTCTTCCAAAAGAGGATCCTTATTTTGGACAGATTATTTATACTGAAAATAAGCATAATTTTCAAGATACTCAATTTCAGAATCCAACATGGTGTGACTACTGCAAAAAGAAGGTTTGGACAAAAGCAGCATCACAATGTGTGGTTTGTGCTTATGTTTGCCACAAAAAATGTCAAGAAAAATGCCTAACTGAGGCCCCATTTTGTTTAGGAGCCACAAGACGGTTTGAGCGAGCCCTACATTCTTTAAAATTAGAAAGCCAAGATTCTCAGAGCACAACAGGATCTCGTGTTGATTCAGAATTGAAAACTACAAATAAAACAACAGGTTTAACAAGACACATCATCAATACAAGCACCCGATTATTAAACCTTCGCCAGGTTCCTAAAGTTCGTGTTAGTGACCAAGGGTCTGATGCAGTAGAGCCTTCACCAAAGCACACACCACATCCTTCTGATAATGAAGGTAGTGACACAGAAATTGGTTGTCCAAGTAGTCCTTCTAAATCATCATCAGGTACAGCGATAAAGTTAGCAAGGAAGGAAGGAGGACTTGATGATAGTGTCTTCATTGCTGTTAAAGAGATTGGTCGAGATCTTTATAGAAGTTTGCCTACAGAGGAGAGAATCCAGAAATTAGAGATCATGTTGGAAAAACTGCAATATGAAATAGACCAGGAACTGGAAAATAATAATTCTCTAATTAGAGAAAAGAAAGAAGCAGCAGATACAAGAAAAAAAATGTTGTTGTCAGCTGCATTGGCTAAATCGGGTGAACGACTGCAAGCCCTTACACTCCTTATGATTCACTATAAAGCAGGCATTGAAGATATAGAAGCTTTGGAAAATACTACTTTAGATCTGGAATCTGGAAAAGAGGATAAATATGAAGATGACAACTTAGCAGATGAAATGGATAATGAAGATGATAGTGCTCTAGTGATGGCTCCAGTACTTGAAAGCCTACTAGAAGAAGAAAGACGTGAAGCAGCTGATGAACCAGTGGACTGATACTGCACATTTGGCCTCAGGAAAATACTTTGCACTTATTCAGAACTAGACCAGATACATCAAAATGTAATTAAACACCAGTACAATGTATAAAAGTTGCTTCTCCATTTTTTAAAACCTGTATAAGAGCATAGTTAAAGTTTTCTTCCCAGGTACAGTATCACCCCCTTTTATTTTTGTTCAAGAAGCTAGTTCATATTGTGTTTACAAATATTTTGGGGATTTAAACTGGAAGATTATTTTTAATTTATTTTGACTTTTTCTAAACTTTCATGTTAAAATTGTGATTTTCTTTTTATTCATCTTTCTTTACTATGTTTAAAAACTTCAGATTTTTACTTCATGCTGAAATTATCTCCACCATAAAAGTTACTGAAAGATCAGGTTCTGAAGATTTGGAATGTCCCATTGACTCTTTAACATGTTTGAGCAGAGGGAGGGAAATTGCAAGTTTTAGATTTTTTTCTCTTTTTTGCCAATCATAGCCAACGCAGTGATTTTATTTTACAAAATTTAGTAAAGGTTTTCTTGCATATCAGTATCTTAGTTTTCCATGGTTTTTTTCATTCACAAGTTTTGGAGACTTAAGTCTATGCTTGTATATTCTTTCTTCTTGGGAGGTCCTGTTGTTAACCAAGTAGAACGTCTAAAGCACATTTGATCCAGAACTCTTAAAATGGCTCTTCATAACTACTCCCTTAAAAACTACTGGCATTACACTTTTTCCTAAACTTCAGCTGTACCAGTATTGCATAGTAATTTATTGGGAATGTGCCAGCGAAAGATTCTTATGTTGATGTAAAAATAAATGGAGGCTCTATAGAACATATCACTCTAAAACCTACTAACCCCTATACACCTGTTGAAGAAATTGTAGCATTTTTTGTTTATTCTGGTGTTGATTTTGCCACAGAAATTATGACTTCAATGTCTTGATGATCAAGCAAATTAAATTTAAATAAAATAGCTAAAATGATATACTTTCTACCAGTTTGGATGACATCATGCACAAAAGAACAACAATCAAATGCTCAGTGTTTTAATATAGCGTGTAGTTCTGTAAGATTCTCAGTCATCCAAGTGGGGTTATCAGGAAGTTGAGTCATGGCAACTGGACTTCTTTATTAGGTTGAAACATTTCGCTACTCATCCAAGTAGCTTCTTCAGTCTGAGGAGAGTTGGTAGGAGATCCCTGATACCTCCTCCACGTTATTTTCATGTGTAGTTCTTTCACTGAAACTTTGTAAACTCTTTATTGAAAAGCTCCAGTGATCTGATGTGAGAAACGTTATTTGAGGGACTTTAAATCTGTAAGTTTAGGCTTATTTTCCCTGTGCACATTCAACATTAGCTTAGGAATTATGCTATAAAAATACCTTTGTACAAATAAATAAAGGTAGTATAACTAAATTATTTTTACCTTGGCAAGCAACCACATGTTACTGTGTTAAATGAGCTTTACTGTAAATGGCAGTGAATAATTGAAACTTTCTATTTTAAAAAAATTATCATTTCTCACTTTTGAAAAAAGTAACCAATTGCTAAATTGAGAACACAATTGATGCTTAAAAGGGGTGTAGTTCTATACTTTTAAAAGTTATTTCATAATTTATTGTGTTTCTCAAAATACACCCCCAAAAAAGGTTCACTGCTAATAAAAACTGTCTTGCAAAATTTATTTTCTGGATTGTTTACCAGTGCTTATAAGTGTCCATTGTTGTTTTGCTTGTCTCCAGGTGTACTGCTTTTAAACACTTACTGATGAGGAAACAACTACAGCAATAATGTAGACATTAGATTTTCCAAAATAACATCATACAGTTTATCAATTAATTAAAAAGATATGACAAGTTGGGGATCAATACTCTGCTATGATGATTGTATAATATAAATTAAATGTAGTGCAATATTCTAACTGTTGCGTGAGAATGGTGGCAAAATAATGATACATTAGCAACAAGGAAAACATGCAAAATATATAATCATAATAAACACTGATCTTGAGAAGCAAGCTGTATTAATACATTCCTATTATATTCTTTGCTTCTGTGCTTTACCGTACATAGCTGAAAATAAAACTGCCACTGAAATGTGAATATCATGATATAGTGGTAACTACTTGACACTTGCACATATTTATGGAAATCTGCCTGAGATGATTGTCAGAGATGATTTTATCATGAGAACGAGCTTTAATAAAACCTTTTTAATATAAATTCTCAGTTTCTCTGTTCCAAGTTGTTAACTGTGAATAGAATAATACAGATACATATCTGGAGTTAAGATCTTTTTATCATCTACAACAGTGGTTCCCAGCCTTGGATAACCCAGGTGTTCTGGACTACAGTTCCCAAAAGCTTTCACTACCAGTTATGCTGACATGGGTTTCTGGGAATTGCAATCCAAGAACACTTGGATTACATGAAGTTGGGAACCACTGATCTACTGTATGAGGATATGTTCTAAAGCTCTGGCTTTCAATTGTCTTCCTTCAGATAGCTCTTTCAAGCCAGCCTCTGGAAGGGCTGTAATTCAGAGACAGAGAACATGTCTCTGAACTTTGCCTGCAAATGGTCCTAGGGTTCATTCCCTGACATCTTGGGAAGATTGGGAAGCAGCGAAAAGCCCCTGGCAGTCACATCAGTTGTATACAGTAGTGTTTTACATACCTTTCTATAGATTTGTCCAAAGGTAAGCCATGTTAGTCTTTTGCAACAAAAGCATCATGGTCAAAACATTTTAGTGGAAAACAGGACACACACACAGGCTATCACACAGCAATGTTTCCCTTGTCACTTTCTGTCTTTCACAAAGACAAGCAAGCAAGTGGACATGACTCCTTTCCTGAACAAAGGAATGTGAGTTTATTGTATTCGCGAAGGCTTTCACGGTCAGGATCTAATGGTTGTTGTGGGTTTTTCGGGCTTCTTGGCCGTGTTCTGAAATGTGAGTTTATCTGAAAGCTTATGCCCAGAAAAATGTGCAATTTCCCTATTTAGAGTAGATCCATATCCAACTAGTGGTTATCAGCCTCTTTATCTTTTGGGTAGGATATCCAGATAAGGCTCAGAAGAGCCTTGGCACTTTGAGTCCAAAATTACAAGAAGCAATGTTCTACCACAAATGTTGAAGGAGTACTCCTATGCTTGTCTAACACAAAGCTGCAGAAACTGTAGAAAAAATGTGGCAGGGAAGACATAATATCTAAGAGGCAGCTCTACTGCCCGTGGTACAACAGTCCCAATGTAAACTGCACAATTGATTGTGCAGTGCTAGCTGCTTTGTTGTGCCCAGCACACATCAATTTACATTATGCCAACTTGAACAGGATTTCAGTCTATTGCAAATAAAACTGCCTGAAATACAAAGTGCTAGCTGCTTTGTTGTGCCCAGCACAGATCAGTTTACATTATGCCAACTTGAACAGGATTCAAACTGCCTGAAATACAAATGTATATACATAATATGAACCAGTTTGCTGACTGAACATTTTCATATCACGGCTTTGAAACAAACATCCATTGTGCTTATGACCCTTTAAAATCTTTATACCGAACAGCTGATTTCATTCATACTAGCCCCATTAAAATAACTAAGAGGAGTGTTTGAACTTTTGAAGTCTTTTGATACTAAACATAAAATAAATAATTGTTTTGAAAAATGTAGGTTTTGTACCAATCCACCCCCCACAACTTCAGTAAAGAGATAAAGACTAGTACATCTAAACCATATTTTGAAAAGGGAAAATCATTAAATTCAGTAAAGTTTATTAACTTTATGGGATAAACATGTTCAAAAAGAATATGGTGTACAGAAACCAAACGCAAAAACCAGGTAAGTCTCATACCATGTCAAATGACTTTCCCTCCTAGGCAAGTGCCGTTGAAATAATGACTCCAGAGAAGCAAAAGATAGATTATATGGGCTAGGGCATTATGTCTTCTGCCATCAGTCGCTTTCTCTCTGCTCACAACACACTACTATATTCTCCCATGACATAGGTGAACTTGAAATGGCTCACCTATGTCAAAATTTACTAGATGAATGACTTGCAGTATCCCACAAAGAGCGCAAGGGGGTAAAATAAAAGTAACTAGTGGAAAACATCACATTGTTATCTTTTTATTTTTTTCATTGAATGATAACATTTTAACTTTTTTTCTGCATAATTATCAACAATAACTATTCATCTATAGCATTTTAATACTTTGATCTATATATACATATATAAAACTATGTAAATAAGGTGTGTGGTTTAAGATGCAAATAATCTGCTAATACATTATAAAAGGCACAGATCATGTTTTACAAACAAGATGACATACACATAACACTAGATATGTATATATGGCCCAGCACTTGCTAGATTTTTATTCTTGTAATTAATTTTAATTAATTATAAATTAAAATTAGGATCAATTTATAATAATCCTCCAGTGGGCTCAACTGCACGTGATGATAGAACACAGCCAGAGATCTCTGGATTGCAATGCAGATTTTCAAGGAATTGATGTGATGGGGCTTCCCTTATAGTGATCTAACCAAGTCATCTTCTCTCCCAAGTCCCATCCTGCAAATGCTTCTGCCTAGAGAAGGAACAGCCTATGGTCCTGGGAAGGAGGCTAATTCATTACAATTTGCCTATATCCAAGGACCATCTGAGAGCAAAGAAAAGAGAAAGAGTGCTTTGTTAGACTTTAGATTTATTTAATGTAGAAACAACCATTTTTCTTGAGATGTTATAATTTAGTTGTGTCTTTTAACAGCTACTTAAGAAAAGAATCTTTAATCTAAACATAAAATACTAACATAAAACCAATAAATATCTGTATAAATATGAGAAGACCAAGGTTTGTAACACACTGGTAGGCCATCTGCTTTGCATGCAGAAGGTCTCAGTTCAGGCCTTAAATACTGGAAAGAAACTGTCAATTAGGGTTGACAATACTGAGCTACAAAGTATAAAACAACTTCCTATATTATTTTTGTTCCTGTTGACAATACTGAGCTACAAAGTATAAGACAACTTCCTATATTATTTTTGTTCCTGTAGAAAGCTACTTTGGAATGTAACACCCAGGGGGTTCTTTCCAGTCACCTGGCAATCTTGAACACATAAGGAGGTTCAATTGTTGGCTGTCTTGCCTCTATGACAGACATATTTGACAGCCAGGGTGGATATTAAATTGTATGGTTTCAAACCAAGTTATAGTATTTGACAAATACGAAGTATTGTAATTTCTTGTCATATAACTCATCACTGCTAGTTTTAGACACTTGTGACATGAGTCAAATGAAAATATGAAATAGTAAGAGTATTTCTGAATAAATATTTTAAAGGCATAGATCTGAATTTAGATTTACACATTTACACTACATATTTAATAAAAAATAGAATGCATAATGTTAAATACATAAATAAGTTTTAAAACTGTGACAAACTCCTATAAAACTTACTTTATTCCTTTTGTAAGGCAGTGGGTAATCCGCTTTATACTCATGGGTAACAAATAAATATACCTTTGGTTTTTATTTATTTTTACTACATCACCATTACAGTACAGTACAACTAATGAGATGCTTCACAGGAAACACTTGCAAATATCAAGCTGATAAGACTGTTGGACTTTACTCGTCACTTTCTGATTCCTCTTCATCTTCACCTATTGAATGTGACTGGATGCTGTTCTGAGTATACATTTTGGGTTTAAAGTGACAGTTATGGTCCATAAGTATTGCCTATAAAAGAACAAATCAGGGTATTAGTATATATTCTGAATATTCCATTGATATCTACAAAACACACCTATTATTTTTAAATTTATGCCAGAATCAGAGAATTTCATAATTATGACAAGAGTTACAGGGGTTTTATTGAACCTTCTTTTTCTTTTCTTCCATTGTAGATACCCTTGCAAGGTTGCGGTACAACTTTGTACACTATGAAGAACTTTTAAAGATAAAAAGTACTCTGAAACATCACTCTACATGATCACAACTATGTCACAGCAAGTTTATTTGGTTGTAGCAGTGTAGTCACAGCCACAACTCCACACATCACCAGAAATCAGGATGAATGGGATTATAATTTTTGTTTGCAACATTTAATACAAAATACTGAATGCAGATGAATACAGATATGCAGCCAATGAATCAAAACAGTTTAGCCCACTTTTGGATTTTTGAGAAACCATCCCACCTCCCCACTTCTCTTTACCACCACCCAATCCATTTTTAACCAAATTCATGATTTAGAATTAAAACACAAACAGTTTTTAAAAAGCAAATAAGCACAAATAGTTTTGCTTGTCACAAAGGTTAATAAAAACATATTTATTCACAAAGGCTTTCACAGTCGGGATCTAATGGCTGTTGTGGGTGTTTCGGGCTCTTTGGCCATGTTCTGAAGGTTGTTCTTCCTAACGTCTCACCAGTCTCTGAAGATGCCGGCCACAGACTGGCGAAATGTTAGGAAGAACAACCTTCAAAACACGGCCACAGATCCCGAAAAACCCACAACAACCAAAAGCATATTTAAGAAATAGCAGAAACAAAATAAATTTCATGTTAGAAAATGATGCTGTATCTCACAGGCATACCTCCCCAGTTTGGGAACCAATTATGTAAGGAATGCAGCATGCATATGTGAAGGGACTGAGAAGTTGGGGGTATTTTTTATTATTTTTATTTATATCCTGCCTATCTTATCAATTAAGACTACTCTAGGCGGCTTACACCAGCATAAACAACAATATGATTAAAAGCAATTTACATAAGGAGGACTTTCAGAAGATAGGACAAACACTGGGAGAAGAAGGAAAAGGGGCTCGGGAGCTGACAAATGGGAAGGCCTGCCGAAACATCAATGTTTTTAGTTGTTTTTTGAAAATGCCCAGCGAGGGAGCCTATGTGAAGGGACTGAGAAGTTGGGGGTATATGAAATATAGAATTGTTGGACTGTTTTATGGTTCTGTAAGCTAGGGAGGCTGACCTCACAGGCAAAGGTCAGTGTGTAAATACAGTTCATGCCTTCAGTTCATCTCCCATTGTTGAACACCTCAAAGATGTAGATGCTTCCATGCTCATCTTTATTAGAGGGCATATCAAAGGACCATAACGCCTTATCTTCAACCATTGAAGTCATACAGTTATACAGATTTGTCAGAGGAAATGGCAGCAGGCTAGGAGGAAGCTGGCTTTTGTCCTCAAGGAACATGAAAATGCTTTAAGATGTGGTTGGCAACAGGTATGTAAATAGCACATTTACTTATACAAAAAAGGTTTAGAGAAACTAGTTAATTAGCCTAGCACACCTCTGAGGAGAACAGTGCTTCACTCCCTTGCTGCTCAGAGACTGAGTATGAATCCCAAGATGGCCCTGCCCTAAACCGTTTAGGGCTTTATATGTAAGCACCAACACTTTGAAGTCGATGCGGAAGTGGATGGAATATACAATTGTTGGACTGTTTTATGGTTCTGTGAGCTAGGGAGGCTGACCTCACAGGCAAAGGTCAGTGTGTAAATACAGTTCATGCTTTCAGGTCATCTCCCGTTGTTGAACACCTCAAAGATGTTAGAGGGCATATCAAAGGACCATAACGCCTTATCTTCAACCATTGAAGTCATACAGTTATACAGATTTGTCAGAGGAAATGGCAGCAGGCTAGGAGGAAGCTGGCTTTTGTCCTCAAGGAACATGAAAATGCTTTAAGATGTGGTTGGCAACAGGTATGTAAATAGCACATTTACTTATACAAAAAAGGTTTAGAGAAACCAGCTAATTAGCCTAGCACACCTCTGATGAGAAGAGTGCTTCACTCCCCTGCTGCTCAGAAACTGAGTATGAATCCCAAGGAGAATCTGAGTCCATTTGCTGGCCTATGAAGGTCTGCTGGCATATACACTCTTTATGCCCAAGAACTACTGTACATTATCTCTCTGCTAAGGTATGAGTATTAGGTAGGGTAGATTAGCTTTTCTTATTTTTCTAGTGTGTTTTCATCCTGAATGCTTGAAAGTCTGCCTCCTCCTTGCTCCTGACATTTGAACAAACATTTCTTGTAACCAACATTTACCTTTTTGCCCTTTTGAATTGTATTCTTTTTTTTTCTTTTTAATAAACTACAAAAATCCATTCACACAGTTGTCTGGATTCTAAACCAAGAGGGTTTGTGGTTCTAAAGCCAATCCTTGTCTCAGTCAACTACTGGGAGTTTTTGCACTGTTTGTGCGTGGAAGTGCTGGCAACTAGCTCACAAGGCTGGCCTGCAAATTCTCAGTGCCTAGCCTTGGGAATTTCTTTCTTGTGTCAAGCTCCTTGGGGTACCTCTAAATCTGGGAGGCTAGGCAGGTGTTGGGAGTGAAAGGTTCCAGTCAAATATGCACAGCCTGGGCTCTCCCACCACAGGACAAGCAAGAGCAAAGTGGCTGTAAAGAGAGGAGCTTGACTGGAGAGCCGTGGCAACATATTTACAGTATTCCAGACAAACAATTATAATCCCTCTGATTTAAAAGATTTTCCATACAATTTAAAATATATTAAATAAAGTATATTTCAGCATGAAATATCAGATTCCATCGCAAGTGCTCATACTTGTACCTGAAGCTAGCTGAAAAATATTTTGAATATTTTATATAAAATCCTTTAATTCTGATGTGCAAATTGATGATACCATTTCTTCCAAAGTCTTCTGTTATCTAATTATGCACTAGTTTACCAGAATCCTCTGGGAAAGGCTTCAGTGACATGTATGATTAATTGTTTGCCTTATTACTGTTTCATCCAAAGCTGAATAAAAAGTTGAGATACAAGACTTCAAGTAACTACCATGTAACTACTATCTATCCCATTTCAGGCATGTAGTAGTTTAATTACATCCCTTCCTCCCAAGTGCAACTATTCCCCCCACCCGTGTGTGCGTGCACATGTGTAAAAAGATGCTGCATGTGTAAAAAGATCTGTACCCATGCTTTTGGTCCCAGGCTCAGCAATTTTTGGGAGCACTGGAATCTTACTTCTTTTTCCAAATTCCAGTAACTAGATTATGCTCCAAACACTCCCCTCTTTGTGATGTGATGTGAACATGCCTAGCTATATACTGTACCTTCAGTAGCAAATGATGTCCATATGGGTATGTAACATTTGAAGAGGATAGTCTTCACACAGAATCCAATGCACATAAATCCAAGTTGCACATTCAGTTTCCTAGATTAATTCAGGGATGTGCCCTGCACTCACTGGGTTACACATGCGTACAGCCTAGGTGGACATTACACCTTTGCATGGAAGAGCTCAAAGGCTCTCACTTTCAACCTCTGGAGTGCAAGCCTACCCTGCAGTGGCAGATGAGAACATGTAGTCCAGTCTGGCCTACTATCATCAGTCTCCAAATTTTCCCTCTTGTTTTCAAAAAATAAAGCTGACATTTTCTGCAGCTCCAAATCTTGCTGAAAATTGTGAGCTCTCGTTGAAAGAAAGCCATAAATGGATGGCTAATGTCTAAATAATAGTAGAGGTGTAGTTTTTCAGAGTGGCTGCTCCAGTTTTTTGGAACCTCTTTCCAGCAGGATCAGGACTTCTTGGAACGTCTTTCTAAAGCTACCCATACTTCCTTTTTGCAGGGACTGTCATACCTAAGTTGGTCTAGGCTGAATTCTTTGTTTTACACTCCTTTTATTACCTGTATATCACTTTAAAAGACCAGAAAGAAACAATATCACTTTACGTGAACAATGCTGCCCATCAATCTCTGTTAGGAGGCTGAAGGAGTATGAGAGTTACAGGAAACAAAATTAGATAAGACAATGTGGGTAATAACTCTGTAAAAGGCTATAGATCAATCATGGTAATTATTCTTTTTGCCACAGGAAATTCAGAAACGGAAGACACATTAGCAGTGATGTGCTGTGGCAAATCCAGGGAAGAAAGAAACCATATTTGTGCGTACCATTTTTTCTTCTTTGGCAGGTGGACTGCGCAGAAACAAACACAGAGGAGCAAAGAAGATGTCGATAATTCCTATAATGGTCATGAGCCATGGGAACCCAATGGCCTTTGCAACTGCACCACCCACAGATGGACCTTTGGAAATACAAAATTATTTGTCAAACTGCACACACAGAGACACATGAAAAACAGGAACTAATTAAAACATTGTGACAATTTTTGTCCAGTCGTGTCCGACTCTAGGGGGCGGCGCTCATCCCGCTCTTCAAGCCATAGAGCCAGCGTTTGTCCGAAGACAATCTTCCGTGGTCACATGGCCAGTGTGATTTAGACACGGAACGCTGTTTACCTTCCCACCGAGATGGTACCTATTTATCTAGTTGCATTTGCATGCTTTCGAACCACTAGGTTGGTGGGAGCTGGGACAAGCAACGGACGCTCACTCCGTCGCGTGGATTCCATCTTACGACTGCTTGGTCTTCTGACCCTGCAGCACAGGCTTCTGCGGTTTAGCCCACAGCGCCACCACGTCCCCTATATATATTTTTATTCCTGTAGCTTTTTATCCCAGAAAGTTTCAATTGGAACCTCTGAGTGATACCGTTAGCACTGCCAATTAGAAGAAAAACTGAAATACTTGATGCCTTTTTCTCCAAAACTATATTCATCTTCAATATAGCAAACTAATTTTTAGCCTGACAGCTCACTGTCATTACTAACATTTTTGTAATATCATTTTGGCAATGCTGTTATTACTTAATTACATTTCTAAACCATTTTGTATCTGTGTCTGGGTGGTAAATCAAAATAATAAAATTCAAGATAAAAATGAAACAATAGCATGAAACATCACAGATAAAACTAGAATGAACTAACAGAAGATTATGCAAAGAACAAAACCACTAAAACGAGAGGTGTGTATCAAATGTAAGCAACAAATGAAGCTCTTACCTAAAGCAAATCCCATGCAAAATGCAACATCTGCAATAGCATAAACACTCCCATAGACTGACACGTGACGCAGATCAACAAGGTAACCCATGATAGGCATCATTGAAGAATCCACCATCCCTGATTGTAAGGAAGGAGAAAAAATTATTTTAAGAATGCCCTTGAATATATCTTCCATCTATATTTTCTAATACAGCTTAAAGATATGTGCAGAAAATATTTATCATATTAAACAAATGTATATTTATGATAAATGTGTTCAGTTTTACTTACACTGAGTTTTTTATTTCAATATGATCAGCAGTTTTTGATTTCAACATGATCAGCAGCTGCAAAATCATGTTCCTCTCAGTACCTAACTAATTAATAACATAATATATAACATACAGCTGCCTGTCACCTAAGGAAGATAAGGAAACTGGTAGGGCTCATTCTGGCATAATTTTTCGGGGTGGGGGGAGGCACACTTTTATTCTAGCAAGCCTAGTGAGAATATTTTAGAAGCATATTTGCTGCCCTTTTGTCTCCCTCAAAGTGCGTATTGGGACATAAATCTGTAGACAGACAGTGTGCCCCACAACCATTTCTGTGTTGTGCCAGTTTCACTTCAACTGTGAGGAAAAAACAGCCCCATTAATTATATCTGTGGTTTTAAAAGATCACTGTTAACACTAAAGCAACCAGCACAGTGGAAGACAAGACACTGCAGCATGCTAGTGAGAACAGGATAGTAACCTCACTCTTTCTTTCTCCAAAAGATACACTTATGAAGCTCTCCAGGAAAAAAAAAACATGCCAGGACATTGACAGAAGCACCGAAAGGAATGTAATTTGCCTGTCACTTTCCACTGCAGGATGTTGCAAAGAGACAAAACTAGAGATGGGCATGAACTGAACCAGGAACCAGAAAAACCCATGAACTGGGCTGGTTCAGGGTTCGAAGTACTGAGCCTTTTCCCCCTTGGCACTTCATTTTGTTTTGCAACCCCCCTCCCACTGCCCCCGCCAGCTCCCTACCTTATCCTGCAGCCACTTCCACCACCACATTCCCCACAGGCAGCAGGCCTGGGCCTGACGCCTGTGCACATGCACCCTCAAGGGCCTCCAAGGACCCAGGCCTGCTGCTTCTGCGCAGGTGCTGGCCTCACAAGTGCACATGCAGCTGCCTGTGAGGATTGCGGCAGCAGCAGAGGAGGTGATGGTGGCAGCAGTGGCTTCAAAATATGGTAGGGAGCTGAGGAGGGCAGGGGCAGAAATTCCCCCTGGCACAACCCCAAAAAATGAGCCATGAGCCAGCTGTTTTTTCATGATTCATGATAGTTCATAGTTCATGGGTAACCATGAGGAACCATCACAAACCACTTCTTCCAGTTTGTGCCCATCTCTAGGCAAGACCCAGGAAGAATCTATTAGAAAAATTAAACACACTTCATAGTCATACCCATAATCTTAGTATGCTAAGATGTTATTAACATCTGAGAGGATGAAAAGTGGTATTAGATTCAAAACTAGTAATCATGTCCTAGAGTCAGATATTTGTGACTTATGTTTGTTGTTGCTGCTCCTGCTGTTTTGATAGTTTTTTAAAAAGAGAAAACTGTGTTAGGAGATATATCAGAATAAAATCCTGTATGTGATTCACTGTGTCAAAACATCATAGTGTACTTTTTATATGTACTGTAATAGTAAGCCTCTTTGTTTTCACAGACCGCCAGCTGAATATCTAATTATTGTACCATCTGTCAACTCCTGTACTACACAATAAAAGCATCTGTTTAACTCTACTTCTGTCAGCATGGGCTAAACACCCTAATATGAAATAGAATGGGACTGTTCATATACTTTTATTTAATTATAGTGGGTCAGTATACAAGTAGGGGTATATGCTCTTCTGTACATTTCAGGTTATACAAACAATTGCATTTGAAAGGAAGCAGTAACCATCAATGTTTGTTAAGTAGGCATTTATTACTTCTGGTTATTTGCACATTTTTGCAGTGTGCCACCTCCAGGGGAAAAATAATCCAAACCACAGATCTAAGAAAACAGCAGTGTTTCATGCCCACTCTCTGAATGCAAGGTTCTTCCTAGATAGCTGTCACCAGTCATCTTTCATTGCATTGATCACATGGTATCAGGTATCAGGAGGAGAATCTGCATTCAGAGCCAACACCTGCCAAGCAACAAAATCCCGCTGGGAAAAAGTCAGAGGTGCACTTTCCCTTCTTTTCCCTTTTCCTATCACCCTTCAGCAAGGAGGATGTGCACCAACCTAAAGGAAGTTTATTTGTATTTCATGTATTCCATGTCTTGCTTTACAGGAAAGTGATTCCATCTGGAGAGTTCCAAGAGTGTGACTCTTTCTTGCTTACCTACATCATGTGTTACCTGTCCTGCCTTATGACCTTGGAATGATACAGTTCTGGAAGACATATGGAAGACATCCAGAAAGCCTGCTCCATGCAAGAATCTGCATGTAGAAGATTTGGGTGCATCTGCACTCTATGGTAGATGGGTCATATCACACCCTTCACCATTGACTTCAATGTAGAAAGGTTTGTGCTAGTCCCAATTCATTCCAAGTTAGAAAATCCTACTGACAAGCACTACTATTTGCTTTTGAAAAGGAAGAGATATTCAACCTCCTCAAAACTCATTATATACTACTCACTCATCAAAAATATGGATCCCTCCCAGATTTTTGTTTAAACTAAAAATGAACAACATTTCCAGTCTATCTACCACAATATATTCCATGTCTTGCTTTATAGGAAAGTGATTCCATCTGGAGTTCCAAGAGTGTGACTCTCTTTTTTGCTTACCCACACCATGCGACACCTGTCTTGCCTTATGGCCTTTGAATAACACAGTTCTGGAAGACATCTGTATCTCTAATACTCTATTGACAAGTGTGTGCTTAGAAGACACATAGAGCAAAAATAAAAATAAAAGACTTATGACACCTTAATCTCTTGTCATCTGCTATCTGAAAAAGTGAACTATAATTCATGAACTCATACTGAAATAAATCTATCAGTTTTTTCGTATCCAAACTCTTTTTTTAATTATCATTTTTTTCTTACTTGCTGTTGAAGTAAGACATCAGACATCAACGACACTAACACAGTTACTTCATTTAAATACCCTAGAAGTAGAACGTTCATATTACAAAGGTAACTTTGTAGCTTCATTTTAAACTATCAATTAAATTTCAAGCTAAATACAATATTTTCCTTACCAATAGCAAAACCAACCCCGAAATTTGGTGCTATGAGTCCATATATGTTTGTAGCAAGTGGTACCTGGAGGTAAGGGGTGGGGGGAAGAAACAATATGCTAAACTGTAAGATATTCTTTTCATTAGACTACCAGTGTTCCTAGCATCCACCCTACTAACCTTTTGTGTCAGCCAAAATGAGTCATGTTGCAAAATAACAACATTTTAACTTAGATTTATTAAATCACATTTTAAATATAATAGCCATACAATTCATACATTAGCAGTCTTCAAATATGAATTTTTTTTACACTGCATTGTAGTTTGTGGGTGTGATACCACATTTCCTGCAACCACAGTTGGGCTTGCAATTGAACATTTGTTATGCTTTCTTTCAAAGAAATCCATAGGTACTGTATAAATACAGGCAAAGGCCAAAATCCTTTTGCCTATGTTAGGGCTGCATGAGGGTAATGACATCAGTGGCAGGAAGAGACCTTCAGAATTAAAACCTTCCAACTTCTGTACTGTGGGTCTGCCTGGTGTAACTGTAATCAGTTTCATTGCATGTAAGATATGGGAGCCCAAGGATGGAAGAAGGAAATACTTAAGTATAAAAAAAAATCTCCCTATCATCCTTCTGTAGACATAACTTACACAAGAAGAGTTTGGCCAATGAAATATATCAAATTATGTAACATTTCCCTTGTCCCAGTTCTATGGAACTATGCATTTTTTAAATTAACAGCATTATTACGACTTTCAGAGTTGATTACATAATCTTATTTTTATCAAAGATTTAATTACAGTATTGTTTCTAGATTAAAAGTAGCATCAGCAAAAGACATATATTCAGTGCTCATTCCTAATGAACATTCTTCCATATTAACATAATACACAAAAATACAAACATACTCAAAATGAAATTCTGCAAACTTGATCTTCTGCGTGGAAAATTCTATTTCATTCAGTGGAATTTACTCCCCCAGAAGTTCAACAGAAGCTACTTACAGATAAGCTTCTCTCTCTCTCTCTCTCTCTCTCTCTCTCTCACACACACACACACACACACACGCACGCACGCACGCACCCACGCGCACA